GTATTATTTCAGGGTGGTAAAAGGGCAAAGCTGACTGAAGAGCTGAACATGGACAGAAAATTGAGTATGAAGTTCAATCTTGATAAGTGCATTCACACGCATGGGGTAAAAATAGCCCGAGATGCATATACCTGATGATGGGTAATACATTATTTGTTCCTGCTCAGAGTTAGATATCCTAGTTCTTTGAAAGCATCAGCCCAGTGTTCAGCAGCAGTCAAAAAGGGAAATAGCGTGTTTGAATCATTAAGAATAGGACTGAAAATAGAAAATGTCATTATATTACTGGATAGGTCCAGGGTAGCCCCACACCTTGAATAAATACTCTGTGCAGGTGTGGTCCCCTCGTCTTCAAGAGGATGTGCTAGAACTAGAAAAGGCAAAAGAGGAGGACGAGAAGGATAATTGGAGGAATGCAGAGAATGAATAGGCTATGACTTTTCACCTTAGAAGATAAGACTACTGAAGGAGGACATGCTAACTGTCTACAAAACTATGCATGATTTGGAGGAAGTAAATAGTAAATCCCTATCTCTCTCAATATGGGAATTAGGAGACATGCAGTGCAATGATTAGCAGGTTTAAAACAAACGTTCCTTTTCACACTGTGGGTAATTAGCTTGTTGATCTTGTTGCCACAGAATGTGAAGGCTGATCCTTTAACTGGGTTGAAAAGGGGATTTGACAAATTCATGAAGGACGTGGGCATTAATCATGGCAGGAATTACACGTTGTAGTGGTTTAGTTTCAACATTAAGACTACTTAGACCCAATGCTAGAAGCTGTGCAGGGAATGTTGTAGGGGATGGATCATTCTGGGTTTGCTCTGCTTAAATATTCTTCCACACTGTGAGAGGCAGGGTACTAAAATAGATGGACCTGTGATCTGACCCAGTCTGGCAGTTTCTTATGCTTATCTAAATTGCAGAAAAATAGAATTTCAGAGGCATTAAAATAAAGACATTTTAATCCAAGTGGACAGCAAATTAATCCCACATCAGTTTCATTTTTTATATATTTTCTATTTTCTTGGAGAGAGAGCACTTTTAAAGACTGAATTATAGGCTCTCCACTGCTTGCTTATGACACAGTGCTAGGTTTGACAGATTCATATTTAATTCCACATATCCATTGTTTAGGCAAATACTTTGATCTGTGAACTTGAGTGAAAGTTGTATTTGCTTAGCTTGCATCTTAGACCTGTTGCACATCTTGCAGAATTCCAGCTGATAAACGGAAAGCAGAAACTTTTTGCACTATATGTAAATGGCTTGCATCATGAGACAAGTATTTTGGAACAAATCCAGTCAGTTGTTTCTAGTTTCTGCTTTTTTCATTACTGAATAGTTGTAGTGAAGCTTGTGTTCCTTTAGAATTTATGAACTTAAATCTGCATTCTAGCAGATGTAATGAAAAGAACTTTAGAAACTGATGAAATTTAACCTGTAACACAATTTCTTAAATGCATCTATATAGATGTAACATTTCCTGCTCTAATTGGCATTTTCTTAGAGAAACATTACATTTTACAATTTGTTAGAAATTCTTATTTCTGGACTATATGTGAATATAAGCAGGGCGTGCTATTCTTATATTTACTTGGGATTAAGATGCATACTTTTTAGTAGGATTCAAACTCTCACTTTCTGACAGATGGTAGTTGGCGTTGGTTTGTAAGGGAATCATTACTTTTGCCGGTCCATGCCCCATGGTTTCTAGAGAGCCTCAGTTGAACAGATCCTCTTGTGTATATGTTAGTTTATGTCTATGAGACTGTCACCAGGAGAGAGGGGGAGAAGAGCTTTTTAGGCTTCTTTTTGACATTTAAAAGAGGACTTGTGCTATCAGAGGAGAGAATTTTTTATTTGTTACCCAAGTCAAGAAGAGGGGGTAAAGGACCTGGATTGTTTTAAGGTAATTTTATAGAAGGGTTGATTTGATAGGATAGGGAATTTTTGGTTCAGCAATCAGTGTGTGTAACAGGTGGAATCTGTATTTGCAGTTCCTATTCTGGAGCATAGGAGTAAGTCAGTGTGGCAGATGTCTGGCAAAACCCATGCTTCAGGGCTTTGATCACCTGTAGGGGCTTGGAAGGAGTTTATTTTCCCCTCATCAAAGATACAGGCCTGCTGAAGCACTGAGGTCTTGGCCACAGTCAAGGCTGGTGGTGGCTTTTGACTGAAGTGTGCTGATTGCCTTGCTGTAGTTAGAAAACTCAGAAGCTCCTGTCTGGAGGGTCTTACTTCTCCACTTGGAGTCATAGTGTTTGCCAGATTTGGGGTCAGAAAGGCATTTTTACCATTGGGTTGACATGCTGTGGGAGGTTTTTTTTGCCTTTCCCTGTAGTATGGGGCATGGTGGGGTGCTGTAGCCATGATGGTTTGGAGAAAATGCAGGAAGAAAGGTTTGTTTGATTATATCTTTTATTGGATTCACTTTGTAACTGTGAGAGATGTTAACACACATTTTGGGGAAGAAAGTGCCCTGGTTCAGGTCTGCTGCTTCTGCTAATGTCTCTGTTCTGCATCACCTGTGGAGGATGCAGCAGGACTTTGACAAGGGCACTTTGTGACCAAAAGCTTGTCTCCCATCTCTCCCAGCTATACAATTTTATCCAATGAAAGATATATCATCAGACATTTCTTATTTCTAGGATATTTTGAACGTATATTAATTGACTACTTCCACGGTTAAGAGATGGCAGAGGTCTTTCCGAGACATCTTCTGCTCTTGTTCTGGGTAAACTATAGGCAGTTGGACTACATGGGTCTCTGAAAGAACTTTCTGATTGTAAATAATGCTGGTCACTCCTGAACTATAATCACAGAGAGACCTTTTAAAGGGTTGGGAGGAGGGTAGAGTTCTTAAAAGGTCTGATTTGACAACTTTTTCGCCATTATTTGAAACAATCCTTTCTTAGGGATTTTAATTTAGGCCTTTACTGAGTTAATGGAGTCACCTTTGAACATTCAAGAAATGAAACTTTTTAAGACTGTATTACTCGTAGTGGGTATATTACCTGAGCAAAGAGTCTGAGAGCCACAGGCTTTTGATATCTGATCCTTTTTGTCCTGTGTCTGTAAAATGAAGGATACACTTTTTTTTTTTTTGTTTGTGCTCATTCTTCCCTAAACCAGTTTCCAGAGTTCTGGAACCAGTTAAATACCTGTCCCTCTCCCCATCCCAGCACTTGTCCCCTGACTCTCTCCAGGAAAACATACCAGAGAGGTGAAAAGTGTCCTTATTCATCATCTAAACAGGACCAGCCCTTTTTGGTCTGTTAGGTGGGACATCACTGCTATCTGTATTGCGTTCCTCCCTGACTTGGCTTCTACATTTGAGGCCTGATTTGGGAGAGCAGTGTCACAGTGTTGGTCAATCTCAGACCCATATTATATAGTTATTAGTCATCAGATAACTTATCACTATTTAATTCCTGAAGATTGGATTCCAATCCTGACAAGGCTCAAAATAAGTTACTTAACCTACATCTGTGCTTCCCAGTGTAGATTGTGAGCATTATTACTTCTTCAGTCTTGGCACAAAATCGATTTAATGTGACTCCAGGTAGTAAGGTCCAAAGGAATCGTGCATGCAGCCTGTTCTAGTGATCAAAATGTTGTAGAATTTTGTCTTTTGATGCTAGAAGTATACACTTAAGAATTTGCATTTACGCTGACAGTAGTTGAAGAACTTCCTTTACTTGAAACTAATCTCTTATCAGGAAGTAAATTGCTGATTGTCAAGGGGGATATTCCTGGTGATGACTAAAATGCACATGTTTTACTGAATGGTGGGTTTATAAGTGAATAATGTCCTTGCACTCCCAGCTGTGGTTCTGATGTCTTTCATAATTTGTAGCTCCTTTTTAAGTATAGAATGAAAAAAGCCTGTTTTTGACTTGGCAAGGCTTTCAAGATCACTATGATAAGAGATGTTGATTTTCCAGGAGGCAGGTTGCAGAAGTTTTACAGTATCCTTTGTGACGCGGGTTCCAGTTAAGTTGACTGGAGCTGTGTGTGTGCATCCCTGCCAACCAGGATCAGATGATGTCTCTTGGGTCGGGGAAAGGGGCTTCTTTCCCTTGAGCTCTCTCTCCAGATCTTCCTACAGTGCATGCTTTTGGTCTCTTCCAAGCCTTCAGAAATTGCACATTGTCATCCACAGCTATTGGAGTGGTTTAGGTGTTGTAATCAAATGCACCCTTACTTAAAATACAATAAAGGGACATGGACAAGACTGGTTGTAAAACTTACATCTTGTGTTTCACTGCTGACTGACTCTTCTGTGGTACGTGCACTTACTTGTGTGTTGCTAGCAGCACCTTTGAATCATTACCTGTGTTATTTTGAAACTGGAATGACCAAATAGCTGTGATTTAAACAAGGCAGAAGCTCATTTCAGTAGGGGTCAGAGAGAATTGTTTTAAATTTTCATTTATCTTTACTGACAAGAAGCCTGTCAGTCCTCGGTCTGAGATTCTTCTGCCAAATTGTCATCTCATTTGGAGGGATGAATGGGGAATTTCTCCTCACCTTGTCTTTTTAGATCACTTCCTCTGACTGGTAACAAGCGTCTTTAAATCACTTTGCAGCCCCCAGGGGGTTTGAACCACTAAATTGCAAGGTTGTTTGGTGTAATTTATAATGGTATGAATTATAAAGATTTGGAAGTAAAAGACCAGGAGTGGAACTGTAAGGGTATTTCAATGAAAGCCTGAGCTGTGTTGGAAAAGCAATAAAGCAGAAGCTTGTGTAACTTTTCCCCTTCCCCTGTTGATGGTGCTACCTATGATACAGGCTTTCCACCAGCATAGCCACCAAGTTTTATATAAATAGTTAACTAACTTGAAAAAGAAGTGGGTCAGCACATATTAAAAACATTGCTGCTGACCCCTTTCATTATATATGCTCCTTTATTCCTAGACTATAAGCGCTAGAACCATCTACAGAGATTGAACTACTAATATTCTGTTTTACTAACCGTTTATCTCCTCACAGGTAACACAAGTAGCAAGACAGCCGGGCCCTCCTGCCCCATCCCCTTACTCTGCACATGAAATAAATAAGGGACACCCAAATCTTGCTGCAACACCTCCGGGACATGCATCGTCCCCTGGACTTTCACAGGTAAGAGCTGGTGCTGGTCAGAAACTTCCCTTACCTGGTTTCTTTCAGTTCACAGGGGAGGATGCTATTTTTATATATGCAACTCCAGTGCTGCAGTGACTGTTGTGTACCATCCTAGCTGGTGGTTAGTTATTGGTTTATCATTGCATACGAAGTAAAAGGACTATGCAGGATTCAGCTTCAAAATAGTACAGATAATATAAGTGATACCACTGAGGAATATCCCCACAGGCTACTCTAGGGGCATTGTCCCACTTTCCTATTAAACATTATGGGAGTGTCTGGTGCATTGTGTTAGTTTTCCATCAATCTGTACTTGTACAGGATGCTGCCGTTCTACAATTATTGTTGAAATTGGTGCAATAAAATTAATTGCAAAGATGAATCTCAATAAAAAGCTAGACATAAGGAGAGATTATAAAAAGTTCAGAGAAAGCAAAAATAGAAGTAAGGATAAGGACAGAGAAATGACAAGTTATCTAGAATATGGTAGCTTTGGAAGTTTTTGTAGAGCATGTCACAGGAGTGAAGTGAAGCAGAAAAGAAATGGGCGTAGGGAGTATAGGGAATATATTAAGTTAAGAACTAGAGGTTGGGGAAAGGCCAGCGGTCTGAAGAGGAGACAAAATGAGAAGCAGAATCTTTAAACTTCCTTTGGATTTGAGTTGATAGTTGAGCAGATGAAAAAAAAATGAAGAACATACAAGAGAGCCCAGAGGTTAAGTGGGCAATAGAGTTCTGAACAAGGCGTAGTAATTTAAGTGAGAAAGGAAGTCCTATCACGAATTGGTTGCAGAGGTCAGCGTGCGGAGACAGAATGAGATAACCAGAGCTTCAAGATTATTGCAGGGCCAGGAGAAAGTGGGAAAGATTGTCAGAAGCATTTGTTGAGATTTTCAGCAAACTTGTCTTGTTTTGGAGAAACGTTATATTATAATCCTCATTTCAGTGTGAAAGCAAATTCAGACGCACAAGAAATGTTCCGGTAGTGTACATATACCATGCTGGAAATAGAAGACAAAGCAATGGCAGTGATGCATGTGCTACAGTACTTTTTAGGAAAGCGGAGATGCCCACGTTCCTATCCTTTTTTAGGAATCTGGAGAATGGAAGCTGTAGTATCTGAGGCATCAGAAGTAGCTTTCAGGCATTTGGCAGCGGTGTTTGGACAAGGATTCCCTAAGCTTTGTTTGCTTTTTTGGGCAATTGTTGCATATTGGACAGAGGTGGTTTTGGAGTTGTCCGCAGTGATCCCTGGGTCTCTTTGTTTTGTTTTGTTTTTTCCCCTGAGCTGATACCATTAATTGAGGAGTGAAAAAGGTAAGAGTAGTTCAGACTATTCATCAGATGGCAGTTGCATGACACTAAGTAACATTGAACTACCTTTGCCATTTTGTTGACCGTTTCATGAACGTTTGGGCTGGAAGGGACCCCGGAGAATCATCGAATCCAGCCCCCAACTCGAGTCCAGCCCCCCGATTTAATTAGGCTAATTAAGTTAGCCTAATTAGCTTCTGCTGAAATTTCTGAAGGAAAAAAAAAGTTCCTTGTTCTTATCCTCATGAAGAAGCAGTAAGAAGAGGCGTGAATCTTAGAATTAAAAGAAAGCGCTAGTTGGAAGCAACAGGAAGAAGGACATTCAGTAGACTTCCATTTTTGTAACCTTTTATTCTCCGTGGGAAGTTCTTTGCAAATGTGCTTTTTGTGGTGACTTTGAAGTGAACACCTCAAAATACCTGATACCAATATTAATTGAGAAATATGAAAAGATTATTTTGCTGAGGTTATTAGAAGTGTTTGAATGTTGTTTGGTGTACTGTCTCTTATGTGCATCTGAATTATGCACACAATCTTTAACCTAATTCCTTAAAAGTCTTATTTAAGTGTTTCATTCATGGTTCAAATCTTCTGAACACTTTTTGTCTGCCTACCACATTTTTCTACAAAAGGTCTTGATGGATTTGTTAGTGAAGCGGTTCATAGATTCATAGACTGTAGGGGGCTGGAAGCGACCTCACAAGATCATTGGGTCGAACCCCCTGCCCTAGGCAGGAAAGACGACTGGGGTCAGGTTCTTAGAGCAGCTAATACATTTCTGTCTACAAGTGTGTAAATCTATAAATTCAGCGGATATAAATTCAGTTCTCATTAAAGTCGTAGAAACTCTGGATTGTTTAGAAATCTGCTCCGTATGTGTTATACTTATTATAGGTGCTTTTCTAATGGCTTTAACATCAGCTGAAAGGATTTCAGAACTTTGATGGCTTTTCCTAAAGATGTAAGGTCATAAGAATTTTTCATTTAACCTAGTGGAAGCCAGATTATTCAGATGACAGGTTCCTTCTTCCGCCCCCCCTCCCCCACCCCGAAGCCATGTATATTTTCTGGATTTTATAAATATATTTTAGTTCCATCAAGATGGTATTTTTGATTAAATTATATATTTAGTTTTCCTCTGAGTTGGCCCACACATCAAATACCAAGCAGAGAGAAAGATCACTTTTAGTGGTGACAGCATTTGCAAGTTATATTTGCATGTGTCCAAAGCTGGTAAGAGTTGTAAATTCAAGTTGTAGCATCACAAATCACTATTCTTGCAAAGCTGATTCTTGATCAAATGCTCAGTCAAGAGAATAGTGATTCACTCTCTATTTAAATAATACGGGTCCTCAACACTCCTCTTGAGGATTGTATCTGCTTGCTAGTTCCTAAGGTGGGGTCTTTCAGAAGCAGTATCTTGAAGGAGAAAAGGTTAACAGACAACAAGCTTTTTCCCTGCACCTTCTACTGCACTCCTCCCCCATACTTGGAATATCACTCCAGTATGTAGAGTAAAACTGAGGGGTGGTTACGGAACGTGGAACATCTGTTTCCTCACTTTGAGTGTCGCATCTGAGAGATGAGGGTGAGTGCTGGTGACCACCTTACTGTAGCAAGTGTCTGAATTAATAGGCAAGATGTGTGACTCCCTAAAGGGTAACTCCTTCATAAGGAAATTGAGGAATGGATGGATGGATGGATGTCAGTCATAGTATTAACTAACTTGATAGAGACTTTACTACAAGAAAATAGAGCCTCTTATGAATAGCGCAGAACATCTGGACAACTTGATAACTTTACACCTTTGTACCACAAAGGCTTGCATATAGTTAAAACTGCAAATTGTTGCAGTAAACGGCCTCTGAAAGATCTGCTGAGAGCCTCCTTTGTTCCCAGAGTATAGGGTAGGATGATTTAAGGGCCACTTGGCTGCATAGTACTTCAAGTGGGGAAAAGTGCTTGAGTGCAGGTGTGGTGTCATGCCCATGTGGTTGTGTTTTGTTTATTTTACTTGTCTATTTCAAAGCAAAGGAGATTTGTATAGTACCACTAATGTTTAGACTGCTTTTTGCCTATTTTTTTGCTTTCTTCTATTAAAGTAGTATGCCTGCTTCTTGTTTTAGCTATTCGACTTCCTGTGGTTTCCTCTACATTGACTTTAAACCAGCCTCTGGCAATCCACTGCCTTCAGAACTAGTTTCTGCAGCAAGAGTAAGAGAACTCTGCAGCAATGAAAAACAGTTCCACACCCCCAGTATTCACTGCAAGAAACCTTGCCTCTGCTTCCCTTGCCTTCTCCAAATTCCAGGGCCTTGAAATCATACTTCTGGTCTCTAGAATGTGCTTAACTCTTTCAGTACCTGCCACTGCACTGCACATACTAATACAGAGTTGCCATAGCCAGATGTGGCCTTGAGTCCTACAGAAAAGAGGTAGTTAACTGTGTTAGTCTGAAGTCACACAGAAGGTTGGGCAGAAGCACACCTCATAAACTAACCAAATCAGAGGTGAATAAGTTTTTGTGAACCTGACCTCACTGCATCTGATGAAGTGAGCTTGAGAAAGCTTATGCATCTTTAATTTAGTTGTTTACAAGGTACATCTCTAGCCTGCCTTCTGCTCCAGTCGTACATGCATATACAGTTTCCTATTTTGCGTCTTCTGTATGCTAAAGGTTTTCCCCAAAAAACAGACTGGGAGAGGGTTGATGCTTTTCTCCTGCTCTCCCCTTCTGAGTTGCACACTTGAGTAGGTGCAGAATTCTGTAACTGTCTTGCACCTTTCAAGTGACTCTTGTCAGGGAGGAAAGCGTGCGAAGCTTTTATCCTTCTCCTATTGTTGGAAAGGAGGGGCCAAAAGCTGATATGAAACCTGGAGCTTCAAAGCAGGGAGCAAGAAGGTTATTGTGTTAAAAGTCACAAATGTCTTTTCCTAGTGTCTGTAGGTATCACAGCTAGGCTTCTTATCGAAGATCTCGCTGCCTTGCCTTTGTGATCTGCCATTTACCAGCAGGTTCAAGACCAGGGATAGCATGAGGGAGATGGGAGAAACTGGAACTGAACACCCTTGGCAAGATTGGAGGTAGCAACTGCCATACTTAGCAGACAGTGGGAGAGAAAAGCTTCTCTCAGGCAGGAGGAGGAGAGTAATTGGAGTTATGCCAAAGCAAGCAGGCTGGAAATTAGAAGGGAAAAATCTCAAAAGACAATACTACTCAAAAAGGAGTTGGGAAGACCGTGAAATGATTGCTTACCCCACCCACCCAGAAGCTGGGGAGAGGCATCGAGCAGTTTTTACACATGAAAAGCACTCTTATTTTCATCCCAGCATGCTAGAGAATCTTGCACCCCCACCCAAAAGCTAGCAGTTTTTTGAAGATCCAAGAGAACTGGTGCGGTCACTGATTATGAGAGAGTGGATTTTGGATCACAAAGGAAACGAGCTGAAAAATGCCCTTCCAGGAAGCATTTGACCTTCTCTACCTTAGCATAAATGTGCTGGCTTTGATTTACAATGTTAGGGGAGACAGAAGGCAGGGTAGATTTGTACCTTACAGAATGATTAAACCAGAGATATAGTTTGCTGCTTATGAAAGTTTATCCATCTCTGAATTAGTTAGTCTGTAAGGTACTAATTTACCTACCTTCTGCTTGCCTTCGCACTAACCCAGCTAACTTCCT